TCAACCCAAGGAAAAATACAAGATATTTATACAAAATAAAATAATATAAAATCAACTATGACAAATATAACAAATATGTTAAATATGATAAATATGATAAATATGTTAGATTGATCAACGTTGATAACTTTAACAACTTTGTCAACTTCGTCAACTTTGTCAACTATGTTGATCATTTTGATCACATGACTTATCCGTAGTGCAGTCACGGATCACAGTTTCACCTTTTACTTGATTTTACTGAAAAATTAAATGAAATTTTAAATTATGAAATTAAAAGTTTAGAAATTAGTTAAAATATTGGTAATTATTATAATATATATTTAATTTAATAATTTCTTTAATTTAACATATATATTTTTAATTTAATAGAAATTTTAAATATTACAAATGATGAAATAAGTAAGTAATTTATATATTAAATTATATATAAAGAGATAAAGAAAGAAAAAGAAATATATATTTAATAAATTAATATTTTTATTTATAAATAGGTAAAATCTATTAATATTATATTAGTATTTATTTATTTATTTTTTTATAATTTTTATAATTTTTATAAATATTTATTTAGTAATACTGTATATAGAATAAATATTATAAAGCAGTTTATAATTACATAAATAAATTTTTATATATAAATTTATTATAATAAAAAATAAAAATAAAAATTATTAATTGTTATTAAATTGCTTTTTAGATAAGTAATAAGATTAAAAAAATTTTACAATATTATTTAATTAATATAAAATAATTTATATATTATTTAAATTTAAATGCAAATTTCTTATCTAATATTTTTTAGCTATTATAGTATAATTTATTATTATTTTTTAATTATAGGTATTAATAATTTTTTATCAACTAATTATTACTTTCTACATATATTATTTTTCTTTTTTCAGATTATTTTTAATAATTATAAAGCTAATTTACTTTAATAATCAGGTCTATAATAAACTTAAAATTAAATCTTTTAAAATTTAACAAGTTTAATAATAATCATCAAAATTATATTTTTTTATATTATTTTATCTTTTGTAAATAGTAAAAAAAAGTGAAAAATATAATAATAAAATATAAAGATCTACTTTCATGTTACTAGTGTAAATGAGTCAATATCTAATTATAGATGTTATTGTGATTAATGAGAAAATATTAATCAGAATTTACTAATTTCATTTTATTATAATAAAAAGAAACATACGTATAATGAAGCGTAGACTAAAAATATAATATATAATATTATTTTAATAGATTTGATTACTTAAAACTAAGTTAACTAGTATTTATTATTATAATAATATTAATTTACAATCAATCTTTTTATAATGAATTTTGATATATAATCACCACTGGATATAATGAACCCTCCGTTCTATAGAATTTGATTCGGTATAAGATGAGTTCGTTATATAATGCTCACTCTATATACCAAACTGTTCGGTATATAGAATTTATTATTAACATATATATTATTATACTGATTAATAAAATTTTTTCAAATACAAATTATTTTTATTATTATTTCATTCACATGACATGTATTATTATATTTATAAATTGCGTAATATTATATTATTTAAAATTTGTGTGATAATGCTATACTATTCAATTGTATCGTTAATATTAAAGTAATAAAGATCAACTTGCTTTAAATTTTGTACAATTAGTAGCTTAACTTGTTTATGTAATTTCCTTAAAACCTTTAATTCTTCGCTAACTTCACCAAATTCGCGTTCTTGTTCATATAAAAATCTCATAGTTTCACTTATAAATATTTTAGCTTCTATTGGACTAACTTTTTCCAATATAGGTATAAATTCAATTTCATCCATATTTCCCTTCTTTATTTGTATTTAAAACTGTATCAACAATTTCGTCATCAATAAGTCCACCCTCTGGCATTTCATTCTCAATATATATATATTCATATGCGTTAAGATCTTTTTCTGAAAGTTAAAGAAGTAACATATCAAGCTCATCAATTTCTATATCAAAACTAAAAAATAAATATGTATTAGTAAACTATGACACCATTAACCATACTTCAGCTGCATTTTGTAGAGCATCATAAATAGTATAATTATCAAGCTTTTCTACAATACTATCCTTTATATTATCATATGCATTAATTCAATTCTAAATAAAAAGGCACTTGTAATAACACTTGAAAGAATAAATAATTCCTGCATCACATGGTTGAAGTTCTGTAGTAGTATTTGGTAAAAGAAAGTGCACTTTTACACTATTTAATTTTTCTTGAGTTTCATCTAAAATAAGATGTATTGGTGCATTATTAATTAAAAGGATAATTTTTTGTTTTTTTTGTTTCATTATTTCATTAAGTTTAAGAAGAATTTCATTATAAATACTGACTTGCATCCATGCTTTCTTATTTCAAAAATAATAAACAGAAAGATTTTTGTAGTTAATATTTCTTATAATACGAGGAGTTTTGTATTTATGAATAAATGTAAGATTCATTTTTTTAGTACCAGCTGCATTTATATAGCAAAATATTGTAACGTGCGATTTTTCTTTTTTATAACCTGATATAGGAGTTCATGCTAAAATTCTAGAAGGTTCCATTTTTCAGAAAAGGTCAGTTTCATCACCATTCTAAATATTTTCAGAATTATAAGGTGCAAGAAGTTATTGTAAAGCAATACGATCATTTGCTATTGACTCAGTAGAAGGTGCACTTGCAGTTTCATCTTGCTTCTTAAACTGACGCAAACCATGACATTTTTTAAAACCACATAACTACCCTTCTGAATTATTAAAATCTTCTATAGAAAATTGTCCTAGCAAAATAATTTGCTTTAGTTTTTAAAATATTACCATCAATGTCTTGTTTTGTATTAAGTGCATTATTAACCCAAATACTAAGTGCTTCCTCAAGTTAAGGCCACTTTAGACCACAAAATTTTTAACATTTCCTTACCCTTCTGAAATTGTAAACTAACGCTCTTTTTCATTCAAAATATCAATAACTGTTGACTTTCCAATACAAAATTATTGTGCAAGTTCAATATTAGGAAGACTTGGATTTTTTTCTTTAGTTTCATATATTTCACATTTTTGTGCAGCCAAAAGAACAACCCTTTTTCTTATCTTTAAACAAAAATTTTCTGTATTCTGATGAAAAAAAAATTATTCATATTATAATAATCTTATAAATAACTTTAAGTCACGTAATCGATTTGGTATATCAAATATGTGGCTAATATATTTGGTTTAGCCAATATAGTTTAGATGCGGTATATGGAATTTTACTATATAATTTCAGTATATCCAGTGTAATTAATTATAAAAAATCAATTCTACGCTACATGGTTCAATCTAATCAGTTTTTAGTATAAACAGGTTCATTATAACCAGTGGCAACTGTAACAAATTTTATAATATAATAGATTTTTAGTATAAGACAGATTTTTAAATATAAAATAACCTTACTATACTAAATTTGGTAATTAAAAATTTATACTATGTTTAATAAATTAAAGTTAGAAAAATTTATATATAAAATGATCCTTTTTATAACAAATTATCTCTATAATAAATTTTTTTTTTGATATAACAAAGTTTTATTTAAAATAAATTTTATTAGATTTATGTATATAAAATTTTGTAGCTCTCTGTATTAGAATTAAAAAAGTTGGATGCAGTTTTTAATTTAGAATGATTAAATAAAAATATTTGATACAAAAATGAGAAGATGAAATCAGAAAATTCTTCTTTTTTTGGATAATAACCTAACACATGCTTTTTATAAAACTACCTACTTACTAATATTAATATTTAATCCCTTTTCCAAATACTACTACATATCTTTATTCTTGTGATCAAGATATTATAAATAGTTTTAAAGTAAGAAATGTAGTTGATTCAATAATTCTTTAGTTAAAATATAATTAACATTATTATATTTTATACTTTATTTATAATTAATTCAAATTTAACTTATTTTATGCATAATATCAAAAGCTATATTTACAAAATTGGGTTAAAACTTTTGATAAATTTAATGGATATTATATTAAAACCTTTGAAATTAATATTAAAAAGTATATAAAATACATTTTAGAAGTATAGAATAATGTTACAAATAAAATAATTAAAAATTGTTAGGTGAAAGCAAATATTTTATCTAATAATAATTATAAAAATGAAGATAAAACTGGTAATAATATATTACTTGAACTTAAACAGTTAAAGAAGATAAAAAAAGTTCAAGTATTAATCAATAAACTTTTGATAATCCTTTTTTTACTGAAGAAATTTTAAATATAATAAGTCTGAAATTATAGATAAAATGATATCTGATGAAGAAATTTTAAAAGCAATTTTACCTAATCAAGAAGATGAAATAGAAAAGATTCTTTATTACTAATAATTACTTCTGAAAAAGTTATTGAAATTTATGATAAGTAATTTTATATTTGAAGAAATAAGAAAAAACTTTTAATATGAAAAAAAGAGTTAAGATCTATTAAAAAGCTTAGAAAGAAGCTTTAAAATAATAGATTATCTCTTCAAAATAAACTAATCTTAATAAATTTATTACTATAATAGATTAATAATTTGAGAGATTACATAATTTATAGTTTAGTTTTTTACTTTTTATAGAATAAAATGACATCATAGTTA